ATCATCCGCTATGTTGGACGGAAATTTATTATTTTCCAAGGCATTTTGAAAGATTTGAATCATGTGCGTCGTCTCACACCTGTATCCTCTGCTACGAAAAAATTACTATAAATGTCCTTTTAACGCCTAAGTGCCATACATATTGACAGACATAGTGACCGTGAGTATATGACGAGCATGCACAAGAAAATTCATCATCGAAGGAGCTAGTATGAGCCTGTTGCTTCACAAATTCTTTGCAAACAGGATGTTGCTGTTTTTTTTTCACAAAAATCTCATCAGTCATCGCACAAAAACATTCGCCAACTGAGATCACAATGTCAGTGATATCGCAAGTGATGACAAGTCATTTATAATTTGCTGAAGACGACACAGATTTCATCAGGGATTCGGGAAAGTTCCAAATTTCTTATTTTGAGTGGCCATTTTTTACTGAGACTGTACATTTGCAATAAGTATTTTCGACATTGTAAGTTTCTTAGAGTCAGAAAATAATTCTCTGATGTTTATAATCTTCTTTGGCTCCACGCTCTAGTTCCGCGAAAATTCAAGAAAAAAATGGAAAATCTGGAAGTATAACCAAATGGAAAACGCGGAATTGCACTCTGGTGTATACCCACACTTTCTACGAAGATTTTAATATCAGTTCAGCTACTGAAAACAAAATGAAGCTCCATTGTGGCGCGCTTTGGACCTTTCTCACTAGCAGTTGATATCATCTTGCCTGGTAATCAAACGAGAAAATCCAAGCAGTCAGTTAACTCAAAGAGCTATTCCTGCTAGGATGTCACTTGGCAAATGTTTGGCTTAAAAGCAACAAGAAATTCTTTGGGTTTAATTCTTGAAATTTAGGAATGACCGCTCGGACTGTGTCGGAGCTGACAAATTTCCACCCATCCCAGTCCGAAGGAGGTTGCACATGGTTTGGTACGGCACCACTGTGCAATTTTCCTTGCCCTTCTGAATACGACTACATAAGAATGCACAATGGAAGGTGAGAACTTCCAATTCTTTATTTTCGGACGAGAACCATTGCTATCTTTAGATGTTCCAACAACTGGTTCAGCGGCTTTTGCGTACCAGACGACAGTTTCGGCAAACCTTGCTCAACAGTTTTTGGAGAATACTTCCACAAGCGGTTCTGTTGCAAGTGAGTTTTTATTTGTACTTGGAACAATAGCGAACATCAAAAAGCATATTAACGCTAGTTTTGCGTCATTCTCTTGTTTTGGGGTTAGCGGTGTAATTAGAGTGCTAAAGAACTCTCAATTTGACTGTCGATGCGTTTCTTCGTCAGTATAACTTTCAAATAAATGAGGAAGGTGCGATTACTTGTCTCGTAAACACCTATATCAGTTTTATGCTCGCGCTTGCGCAAGTTCTATAATTTTTTGATGCAGCGCTCTTTTTCTGAAATTTTTGGATCGAATCTCTAAAAGAAATGAGCTAGCTATTCTTAGAGTGTGACTGCGAAGATTGTAAAGGAAATATTAAAGGCCACTGCATGATGAAG